AATCCATTTTGAGTTTTTTTTTTAATGTGGTGTAAGATAGAGATCCAGTGTCATTCTTTTTGCATATTATACAGTTTTGCATGTCTATATAGTTTTTACAACACACACCTTTTATTGAGGGGACTGTCCTTTCCCCCATTATATATTTTTGGCTCCTTTGTCATAAATTAATTGACCATATATGGGTGGGTTTATTTCTGGGTTCTCTGTTCTTCCATTGGTCTATGTGTCTGTTCTTATGCCAATACAATAGTTTTTTTGATTACTATAGCTTTGTAAAATAGTTTAAAATCAGGAAATGTGATGCCTCCAGCTTTGTTCTTCTTTCTCAAGATTGTTTTGGCTATTCAGGGTCTCCTGGGGTCCCCTACAAATTTTAGGATTTTTTTCTATTTCTGTGAAAAATGCCATTGGTATTTTGATAGGGATTGCATTGAATCTGTAGATTCCTTTGGGTACTATGGATATTTTAACAATATTAATTTTTCCAATCTATTAACATGGAACATTTTTCCATTTATTTGTGTCTTCTTCAATTTGTTTCATCAATATCTTATAATTGTCATTGTATATCTTATACTATACAGATCTTTCACCTCCTTGGTTAAATTTATTCCTCAGTGTTATATTTTTTTGATGCAAATGTAAATGCACTTGGTTTCTTTCTTTTTCTTTTAATTTTTGAATTTTATTTATTTATTTTTACAGCTGGTTCTTATTAGTTATCCATTTTATACACATCAGTGTATACATGTCAATCACAGTCTCCCAATTCATCCCACCACCACCACACCCTGCTCTTGGTTTCTTAATTTCTCTTTCTGTTAGTTTGTTGTTATTGTATGGAAACATAACTGACTTTTGTATACTGATTTTGTATCCTGTAACTTTACTGAATTTGATCACTTGTTCTAAAATTTTTTAGTGGAGTCTAGATAGACTCTATCTTATGCTATGCTTTTTGTGTTGTGTCTAGAAACTATTGCCTAATCCAAGGTTAGGAAGATATAGATATGTATGTTTTCTTCTAAGAGTTTTATAGTTTTGGCTTTTACATTTAGGTCTTTGATTGATTTTGACTTTTATTTATAGGGTGAGGTGGGGATCTAATTTTTTGCAATGCAATATTTATAGTGTTCCTTTATAAATCTTTCTATTTCTGTAAGTTTAATATTGAATAGCAATGTCTTCTCTTTCATTTTTTATTTTAGTAATTGGAATCTTCTCTCCTTTCTTATTGGTCAGTCTAGCCAAAGAATTGTAGATTTTGTTAATTTTGTTTTCAAAGAACCAACATTTCATTTTATTGATTTTCCCTATTGTTTTATTTTTCCTATTTTCTTTTATATTAATTTTTGTTGTAATTTTATTTTATTTTTTCTTCAGATTGTTTTAGATTTAGTTTTCTGTAATTTTTCTAATTTCTTATGGGGAATGTTAGGTTATTGTTTTGAAATGGACTTTCTTTAATATATACATTACAGCTATATCTTTCCCTATATTCACTCCTTTAGATGCATCCCATAAATTTTTATACATTGTGCATTTGTTTTTGTCATCTCAAAGTATTTTAGAATTTTCCTTCAGTTCTTTCTTTGGCCTATTGTTTTTTTTGGGGGGAGCATGTTATTGAATTTTTACATATTTGCGGTCCTCCCGAATTTCCTTCTATTACTGATTTCTAATTTCATTCTATTGTAGTCAGAAAACATATATTCTGTGATTTCAGTTCTTTAAAATTTATTGATGTTTGTTTCATGAGGTCACAAATGTTCTATCTGGAAAACGTTCCATGAACATCAGAAAGGAACATACATCTGCTATCGTGGGCAAAGCGTTCTGAAAATCTCTTAGTCCAGTTGGTTTAGAGTGTTGTTCAGGTCCTCTGTATCCTTCTTGATCTTCTGCCTGATTTTTCTATCCATTATTAACTGTGATGTATTGAATAATCCAACTGATATTGTTAAATTGTCTATTTCTTCTTTACTTCTGTCAGTTTTTCCTCATGTATTAAGGGGCTCTGTTCTAAGGTGAAAACATGTTAATAGTTGTTATGTTTTCCTAAGGAATCAATGCCTTTACATTTTATAAACATTTTATAAAATGTTTTTCTGTGTGTCTAGTATCAAGTTTTTTGTTACAATCTATTTTGTCTGATACTAGTATAGCCACTGCAACATGCTTTTGGATACTGTTTGCATAGCATATCATTTTAAAAAATTGTTGTAAAACACTCACAGCATAAACTGTACTATCCTAACAATTTTTAGGAGTACAGTTCAGTATTAAATGTGTATTACTAAGAAAAAGGAAGCCAATCTGAAAAGGCTACATACTGTTATAATTTCAACTATATGATGATCTGTAAGAGGCAAAACTATGAAGACAGTAAAAGATCAGTGGTTGCCGGGGAAGAGGGAGGCGTGACCAGGTGGAGCACAGAGGACTTGAAGGCAGTGAAACAGTTCTGTGTGATGCTGTGGGTACCTGACATCATGAATCTCACAAAACCCATAGGATATTCAACACACAACCCTTAACGTGGAGTATGGACATTAACGTGGAGTTAATGAGATATTGATTTACCAGATTTAACAAATGTGCCATAGCAATGAAGATAATAACAGGGGCGATTCCAGGTGAGAGGAGAGGGTTATATGGGAACTTCCTGTGCTTTCTGTTCAGCATTCCCATAGACTTAAACTGCTCTAAAAATTAAGCCTATTAATTAAAAAATAATTACCTCCTCTCTTCCTTTTTATCTAGTTCTTTTATCTTTGTACGTAAGCGTCAAAGAATGAAAACAATGGTGGACTTGTACGGGACATATAGAGGTGTTAGAACCAGTTCTGTGGTCAATTTGGGGCCAGCTGTGCCTTGTTGGGTTTAGTTTTAACATCTACAGCATGGAAAGTGGTGATTTTTTAAAAAATGCAGTGTGCATTTTTACCATTAAAAGAAAATATAATAAAGTACTATATTGTTGATAAACCTTGAAAACATGCTAAGTGAAAGAAGCCAGATATTTTGTCATTCAGTTTACAGTGAATTATTCAGAACAGGCAAATCCACAGAAGCAGAAAGAGGATTAGTGGGTGCCAGGGGCTGGAGGGACAGGGAAGTGAGGAGTGCCTAATACATGCGTGTTGACCTAAAACAAATAGAACAAATAGACTGCTGGTTATTTCCCCAGCAAGGGTGGATTTTTTGGGATCATCAGGGAATTGCAATTTGGGGTCTGCAGCCCTGGCAATCCATTTGCAAGTTCCCCTGCAGAAATGGAAAGAACACTTTTATAGAGCGGAAGGGAAGGGAAGGTGGGCGGGTGTAGTAAATAAAGAGCTCATGGCTTTCCATTGGCTGAGTCTTCACCTGGAGAGAAGCAGAGTCTTTCTTCTTCGGTCAGCTCTGCTGCTGTCACAGGGTGCGAAAGCTTCCCCTGCTGGTCTTCTGACTGTTTAATTAAGGCTTCTGTTTTTTTTTTGTATAGTTTGTGGGTTTCCTTTTGGGACGTTGAAAATGTTTTAGAACTAGATAACAACGATGATCACATAGAATCGTAAATTCTCTTAAAACTCCACTAAATTTTACACCTTAAAATGGCTAAAATGGTAAATTTTGTATTATACGTATTTTACTGCCATGAAAGATAAAAGAGAGGATAGAAAAATAAGGTTACTGAGTGAAATTTTTCCAGAAGTAGTGGTTCAAAACAAAGCCTGATATTATATATTGAGATCACAAAATTGTAGTTTTCCAGTAAAATTCCTGAAAAAGATGCACACCAATATATTTCTTGTAAAATCTCTTAAATACACTGATAAAGAAAATTCCTAAGAGTGATTGAACAGAAAAGAAAATATTTTCTGTAGAGTAGCAAAAATCAGGCTGAAATAAACTTTTGCTCTATGAAATTTAGGGGAAAAAATGTTTGAGGGAATAATGTTTACAAGATTAAGAAGAAAAAGCAAAATGAAGTGGGGAACTTAAAATTTTACACAAAATTTTACTCAAAGGCAAGTTTTCTTGCATTGTTTGCTTGTCACCAGGTGCATGTATCACTTTAAAAAAACTTATTGGGTTGGTCATAAAGTTCGTCTGAGTTTTTCTTATGGAAAATCCTAACAAACTTTTTGGCCAACCCAATAAACTATTAATAAACATTGAATTACTAGATTTACATTTTTTTTTTTTTTAATGAGAGATGCTCATAATAACCTCTGTAGCAGTCATGATTTCTCAGCAAGTCTTTCTTTACATTATTTTCCATTTAGGAAATAGGAATTTTCCTTTTTGGAGCGTTCTCAAGAATCTTTACAGACTTTATGATTTCATCTGTGTAAAAATGCATAGAAACACGTCAATGTTTCATGTGAAATGTGATGTTGAATAGCTTAAAAGTTTAAATGTGATCACATTTGAGTAGTTTACAAATTTCCATGATGAGTATATATTAAAATTAGAAATAGAACAGGACTTCTTTTCCTTTGAGTACATACGGTTTTGTATAATCCTCACTCCGCACTCGTGGAGCATAGCTGCACTTAAAGGATTAACACTAAAACGTCAATGGTAGATGTTACTGAGGGCTGGGACCATGGATTTTTCTTTTTAGGTTCCTATTTTTCTGTATGTTCAATGACAGATATATATTATTGTTATAAAAATGATTTCTAAAAAATCTGATACTGAATGATTTATGAGGTGTTTGGTTGGGGAATAATAGCCATGATGGCCATTTATTGAGCTGTAGCCATTGTTGCCAGATGACAGCTACGAAGCTCAGTGTCTTATGCATGTTCTTTAACATCCAGAGCAATCGTGGCCTCAGAGCCGAGTCTGTTCTCCTGACACAGGGGCTGCTACTCATTCCTTGAGCCAATTTAATTTCGTTAGACAAACTGCAACGAACTTCTGATTGATAAGCCAGATTTAAGAAATGGGTGATGTTTGTCTGGAAAGTCGAATTTTCTGGACAGTGCTGCTGCTTCTCTTGGCAGAGAGGATGTGGATCTGGCTCTTGTTGGCACAGCCGGCATCCACGTTGGCTACTGTCTGCAGCAGGACGCCCTGGATGAGCTCCTGACCGGCTGGGAACACCTGCGTTATTACTGCAGCCTGCGTGGGATTCCAAAGCAGTGCATCCCCAAAGTAAGAGCCTCTGAGGGTGTCCAGAAAGAGGGACCCGCAGAAGAATGCTTGGCGACACCCCCAGTCCCAACAGAGCTCTCTCATCCTGTGATAAGGACCTGCAGTATCAAATAAATGTCCCTGAAACATATTTCCAGTATGATGATGCTGAAGGAAACACAGTCAAATACGTCTATGTCATATTTATGTTGTATATTTAGAATAGGTCCCTGCGCGGAGAGGAAGTGGTGGGTAGGAGGGAAAGCATACCGTCGTCTGCAATTTTGTTTCCTACACAGTTTCCCCCCGAAGCATCTTTTACACTTACTGGGCTCTTAATTTGTATTCAGGAGCAAACATCATAGAGTAGGATGCCCAGGCGCGGCGGAGAAGGGCTCATAGCGCATGTGGACTTGGTGGGTGGTTGGAAAGGATGACTTCCTGGAGGGTGGGCTGCCAGCGCGCGTGCCTGGCCTCCTTCGGCGGGATGCGGGGTGGCGGCCTCAGGAGGACGGAGGCCTGGGGTAGCCGCAGAGCCAGCCCCCGTCTGTGGGAGCTGGGGAGGGCAGATACCACCGAGAGAACCGGAGGCAGCTGCCCTTCTGTCTGGCTCCAGCCGCAGCCGGCGAGGCGGGGCTGACAGCCTTGACTGACAGCTCGGTCCAGTTGGGCGGCCTCGGACTGGCAGGTGCACAGGAGAGGTTTTACCTTCACCACCTCACTGCGGGGAGTGTGCGGTGCTGCTTGCACGTCTGGATTCTGAACTTGGAGCAGAAGTAAGGGGCGTATGGGATGCATTTTCAGTGAGCTTCTGCAGGACATGAGCATCGTGGGGTTCCCAGGAGACAAAGCCACAGCCGTGTCCTTCACCAGCCCGTGAAAATACATTCTGGCTGCTGCTCTGCAGTGCCTCAGCCTTCCTTTCTTATTTTTGCTCTGTGACTCTAAGTGAAACCAGAATGAGATCTCTCCACGTCCCCGGAGGGGTCCTGGTCCATTCACCACCTCCCACCTCAATAGAGCCAAGACAGGTGTCCACCCACAGGACCCTGCTCACTGCAGTTAAGCAGCTCTTGACATCTGGGGCTACGCGCTGGCTCTGTCTTTAATGGGTGTTTGTCTCCATCAGCTCTCCTAGCTGGTTTCTGACTAAAGAGGTGGATGCTTGGCAGATGCTCTAAGCTGCCCCTCCACTGTCCCGGGGGAAGCGTGCCCTTTGAAAGTGTTCTTGTTAATACAGTAAGACTTGCTGCTTGCTGTCATCCAGGGCAATTGCATGTGATCCTCAGCTGTCTAACGGCTTAACGGTCGCCAGTTAGGAACTGGCTTCACTTCTTTCAGGAAACCGCAACTGATTTTGCAGACAGGATTATTGCTTGCTCAGAGGCTTCTAGGACATCAGCACATGTGTTTCCAGAGGAGTTAGCTCCCTTGATGGCAAATTTCCCTCTCCTGTAGATTTTGGAAATATTTTAAATATAGAACAGGCATATCTGTTCCACCGGGCTTATCACTGGGTGACGAGAGGGATTATTATAAAATAACAGAAAACAGTAGTTTGTTTATGCTGGGTCAGGCACTGTTCTGTCTTACAGCAGCCATAGGAGGTGGGTAAGATGCTTAGGCCGCATTTCAGAAGTGGTGGGAGTCCCATGCCAAGTCCCTGGCTGGAATGTGGGAGTTTGTTTTGAGGGCAGATGACCTGGCTCCGGTGTGGTGTTCTTGGCATACTCAGGTGGCTGGCTGGGTGAGGAGATGCTTCCAGTGTGCTGAATGGCTCCATCTGGTTTTCTGCACCCCTTTGGTGGCCGAAGAAGTGGAAACCACATGAGATTATGTGTGGGCTCCTTTGACTGGCCCTGGGTTTCAGGACTCCCAGATCTGGCAGGACGCTTTCCCAGCCTGTGTGCTGTCACCCGAGTCCTCTTCCCCAGGTGCCCCCTGTCCCCAATGCCACACAGCACCCACAGTTGTGTCCTCTGTGATTCTGGAGACAGAGCCCCTCTTGCTGTGGGGAAGGTCCTTCGGGATGGCCCTCCTCCAAGCGTCCCTGCTCAGAGCTCACCCAGGGTGCTCACTCACATCTGGCTCCAGCTGACTGGTCTCTCCTACACAGCACTCACTCACTTACCCGACCTCCAGAAGCTCAGTTTAGGTGAGGAAAGGATGCTGTCTTCATTCAGCTTGAACTTAGGCTTGGCAGGTTGACGTAATCATTCTAACTTTCCCCCACTGCCCACACTACATAGTGTTGGGCGGTGTCCACGTATGAGCCTGAATTCAATTAACCTGATTAAACAAACCTTATACCAAGTTATAACAAAGTGATTATAAAACATGGTCTGGGTTGCTAGAGAAGCATGTAAGATAATTTCAGGGTGAGAGTCATACCAAAAGCATCCCACTGCCAGTGGGACGAGGGCTGGAATTTCTGTAGTTTTGTTTTCCCTGGAAGAGACGAGGTACAGCCCTTAGCCATCTCGCCTTTGTCAATACCTACGAATACCTATCAGGGAAACTCCTGCTGCATCTCACTACTTATCTTCTCTACAGATATTACTTTTCTCCCAAAGTTTTCTTCTATTCACGGTTTTGTTAGAAGGAGCTAGAAATTATTACAGGAGACATGGGGACCGGGAGGAAAGAGTCAGAGTCAGAAGAAAGGTGTTTCTGCCTTAAATCCTTAAATTCCTACTTAACACTTCATTCTGATCTTTAATCTCATGGAGAATTTCAGTGTGGCCAACACGTGTGCTAGTGGAAAAATTTTGGCTTTGGGATCAAGTGGATGAACGTGGGAATATCTGGGCAATTTATTTTGATTCCAGTGATATTTATAAACGTCCCATCATGTCTAATCATCGCAAAGATGATTAGAGATTGGGGCTATAGAAATGAATAATCCCAAACTCTTGCCTTAAGTGCAGTACAATTTCTAGAATTTATGGCAAAAAAGCGCCTAATAGCATAGAGAGAGTCCATTAACTATTGACAGTTTGGCGTTTAGATAGTATTTTGCAACCACATTTGCTAAGGCATTACGTTTGCCATTATTTTGACAAGAATCCTGAGTGCAGGAAAGACTGCAACAAAACACTTCTTATTAGACCATTTTCAGATATTTTTCTGAAAACATGACATTCAGAAAGCAGATCAAACCAATATCTGTTCCTGTATATTCTGGATTCCTTCGCGTGGTTAACCAGTCCAGAATTTGCAGGCTGTAACACTTAACCTTCTGTGAAATTGGAAAAACATGACACATGTTTCCTGGTTTCATAAAATTATCAATAATAGTTTGGCAGGTTTATTCCAAAGTTCGCTTATTCTGAAGTGCATTTTCTATAGCAACAGGCTGTACTTTTATTATTGTTTCATTTTTCTGTTTATCAGTTTTTATTTATGTATTACTAGCCTTTGAATTAGGAGGATGGCAGTGAAATAACATTTCTTTCTAATACTTACACATATTTCCACTCTTTTCTGGTACAATTTCTATGGATCTAAAATTAACCTAAAATGTCATTTTCCCAGTGTGTCACTCTTGCTGCCCCACAGCTGACTCTGACCTGGAAGGTGGCACTGCCTTCCAGAAGGTAAGCCTCCCAGCTGGCTCTGACCTTCCTGGGTTCATCCTTTTTCAGTGAACAGAGCCTCCTCTTCCAGGAAGCTTCTCTGGCTGCCTTCCTTCCTCTTCCATGTGAATGTCCACCTGTGGGCTGGTCTTATTCTCTGGAAGACCCTGTCCAAGGGAAACGTGACCACAGTCTACACCTCTCTGATTCTCTCAATGCCAGCCGTCACCTCTCTTCATTCCTCTCACAGCAGTGCCTTTCATACACTTTTTTATTTGCTTGTCTTGAATCACTTGTTTTGTTTGAACAACTTTTTATTTATTTCAATCCATTTTATTTACTTGATGTTAATTGAAATTATTGAACTGAATGGAGCCGTGGTAAGGATAGTACCTATAAACCAATCTGGGAGACCGATGCTATTTCCGAGAAGAACAAACTACTGACCCCAAGATGATGTTCTTTAGCAGATATCAGGGGACTTAAGACCATCTTCAGGAATCTCTGGGGCCTTGAAATCTGCACTTCCTTGACTTATACTTTTTGACAGCTAGGCCAGTCCTTGAGACTCTTAATTCTTTCAGGGTCATTTTGAGGCTGCACAAATAAAGTGATAGAGCAGTTTATGTTGGGAGTTCTTCATTGGGTGGCATAAATATTATCGTAATCTTTTTAGAAGTCCTTAGTATTTCATCGTTGTAATTATCACTATTATTATTACTATCCCAACTTTTATGCATTTATCCAAAAAAAGTGTGTACATTGGTTTAAAGTTCTGCTGTATTGGATTGTTTAGGATGCATACTCGTTAGCCCACCGCCAGAGTCCTGTGGAGTTTTTCCCACTTCTCTTATATTTGAATTAAGATACAATCTTGACCAATTTGGTGTCATGATGATATTGAGAAAACCGAATCTTTGTTAGTACTTCTAGGGTCACAAGAGTTAAATAAAACAGTTTACAACATTTTAAAATCACGCATAGATGGAAACAAGGAAGTTTCTTCATCTCAGCTCCCAGAGGAGCCAGCCCAGCCCGGAAGCAGAGAGAACAGAGTGCAGAGCAGCTAAGGTGGGGCTGGGGGGCATGCTTTTTTCTTCTAAGGAGAGAGAATGAAAGGATCTGGGACTCCAAGGACGTATGAAGAAGTGGTGAGCAGCTCGGCCAAGGAGGAAGAGGAGTGGTGACCGTGCCCGATGTACGGGGGCCGGGGCGTCCCTGGGGCCGAGGGGCTCTGTTTGGTGATGGGCAGTCACCATCCTCTGGTTTTGCTACGAGGATGCCCAGTGGTTGCAAAGAAGCAGGACCCTGACTCTTCTTTGTAAACTGAACTGGGTGTGCAGTGTCCTGGGAGGGCTCTTTCTTTCCTGGGGGATATTGAAGGCTCCCCCTTGCTCCTCTGCCACCTGAAGCCCCCTCTCTCGGGGTTTCATCCCCACTCAGATCCTCCTCTGTCGTTGTTTGCCTCACCTGTGTCTGCTCACCTCAGTGTGGAGGTGTGTCTGGCCCACCCCGGACACCACATTTCTGTCCCGGGGTGCTCCCTGAGCACCAGCCCTGAGCTCAGGGTTCTGGCCGTCGCTTCCGTGACTCACAGGTGCAGAAAACCCAGCTTCATCCAGGAGAGCCCCGCCTGTTCATTCTCAGCATCCCTGTGTCCTGGAGGGGGTGTTTCAGGAGCTGGGCTGAGTGTGGGAAGGTGGGCAGGGGAGGGGCCAGAGGGAGCAGGGTTCCAGGCCCAGAGCCACGTGTCACGGGGTGGCGGGTCCCTCGGCGAATGGGGGTGCCTTCAAAGAGAGCCCCTCTCCTTCAGGTGGCCGGGGACCTCGTGAGGCTCCTCCACTTGGAAGCCCACGTGGACAAACCTGTGTCCACCTACAGCGGGGGGACCAAGAGGAAGCTGTCCACAGCCCTGGCCCTGCTGGGGAAACCCGACCTTCTCTTACTGGCGAGTAGCTGATGTATCAGGGACATGCCCGTGTCTGCAAATAAGACGCTTTGACCTACCAGAGTTCCTCCGGGGAGGACGTTCAAAACTGGCAACATTGGGCTTCTGAACTAATAAACGTTTGGTCCTAAATCAGCGTTTTCTGAACAGAATCTAAAATACCATTGGAATTTTACAGAACCAAAACAGACTTTTTGACTCCCTTTTATTTATCCAACTGAAGATTTGATACAATTTTAACGTTAAAGACAATATTTTAAAAGAATACCAGAATTCACTTGTAATCTGAAAACCGATGCACACTTTTCCTCTGGTCTGTTGCTTTAAGTCTTTTCCTACCTGCAGATATGATGGTCGGAGCTGTAGGGACTCTGTCCATGGGGAATCCTGAGGGTGGGGGTCAGGGTGCAGAATGGATCTGAGGGGGGAGGGGAGGGCGTCTGGCGGGAGAGCAGAGCACGGGCAGTGGCCTTGGGACAACGTTGTCTATAATCCACGTGGGAACAGAAATTAATCCAGTTTGGCTGGATGGAAACATGAATTGGAGGTGGTCAAGTGTCAAGAAATAGAGCCAGTTGTTTTGCATTTCAAAACAGTGAAAAGTAGTATCATTCAAATAATAAATCGAAGTCATCATTTGTGAGCCATGGACTGGATTCTAATCATTAGAGGGCTCCCCAGGGCTTTGCGCTTGTAGAAGGTATGAGGAACATGGAAAAGTATGGGAAACAAGATACATTCTTTCTTTTCCTGCTCTTGTTCATTAACTGGAAACAGTGTTTCAGGGCGGGGAGTTAAAGGGGATTCAGAAGACCTGTGATGGAAAAATGACCCCATCGTTCGTGGACTGTCTTCCGCAATCTGAGCTGAAGTTTCCTCTCACTTGTACCAAGCTTGCTTTTTTGCAAGGTCCGAAATCAAGGACTACCGTGTAATTGCGTCTTCTGAAATCGGGTAATGAAAACCTAACACTTGCATGATTTTGCAGTTTGCAAACGCGTTTTCCTTACCAAAGAATGCCGGCTTGCACTGAAGAGTTCCCGACAGGGCCATTCCTTACCTTCAGCAGAACTGCCCGCTCAGCCTCACCCCCATGTCTCCTGGGTCTGGATGGGGCCTCCCTCCTGGAGCGGGTCCCCGGCTCACTGCAGCCAGTCAGCTTCTCCCGTCCTGCAGCCCTGCTCTCGGCACCCTTGCTCACCCAGGCCTGGGCGTGGCGACCAGGGTGGGGACTCACACGTTGTGTGGACATTTTCTCCTCGTGTGAAATGGTCCTGATGACAGTGTCTGTCCATCAGAGTCCTTGAAGGCAGCCCATGAAATCCTCCTCATTGAGCTTTAGTGACGGTGGTGACAGTGAGTGTTCAGAGCATCTGGTGGCGGACATGCATTGAAGGGCCCTTAGCGTCCTCTCCTGAGACCGGACAAGCATCTCCCCGACGACACCCGTGTGGGAACAATGCATCCAACTCTCTCAGGGAACAATGCCTGGTCACACCTTCCGTCCACTTGGTTTATAACTAGCTATACACTGTACCACGCGATTTGCAGAAAAGACCCATGTTTGTTGGTGTCTGCTTTCCTGCTCAGTGCCATTTTGTGGCCACTTTCCTTCTGTTTCTTTCTTTGGGGCAGTTCATGACCCTCAGCTCTTAAGAAAAATGTGTTCGGTGCTTCCTGACTACAAAAGCACAGAAACGCATCATGCAGCCTAGAAACATCTCTCTCAAAAGTGGTTCGGATAAGTAGGGCTTCAGTGTTTATTGAAGGAGAAAGCTTCGAGTTTCAAGAAATGTCAATTTACTTGACAACGTGAAATCAACAAAGCCTTTTTCTGCTCTCCTACGTCTTTCTCGGGTAGATCCTTCTGGAATTTTATAGAGGTTGGGGTGCATCCAGGCCGGCCTAACTCCCCAGATTCCTAAGGGGGCCCGGCTGACATGAGGGGCCCCGGCCTCTGCTGGGTGTGGAGCGTGGCCTGGAGCTGAGGCAGGCATTCCCTCTGGGCTGGGCCTGCTGCCCTCGCAGGCCTGGAGGGCAGCAGGGTTCTCCCTGCACCCCTCACCCTGTGTTTTCTGTCCTTCAGGACGAACCCAGCTCGGAGATGGATCCCTGCTCGAAGTGGCACCTGTGGGAGGCGGTGACGAATGAGGCACAGGAGGGCTGTGCTGTGGTCCTGAGCTCCCACAGGTGAGCACGGCCCCTCAAAGCCGGGGGGCACCCAGGCCAGACGCAGTGCTCCCCACACGACCCGCTGTCCCCATACCACCCTGCCACGGAGATGTCACTGCTCACCCTCTGACATAGGTCAAGACACTGACCAGAGAGAGACCGAGGGACACAGCAAAGGCCGCTCCACCAGCGGGTGGCTGAGCTGGACTCTGAAGCCAGCGGTCCCTCATCTACTACACCCTGTGTGTCCGTAGCTGCTGGACAGCTGGGCGCCTTCCTCGGGCCCTCCCGCAACCACATTTCTGCCCCTTCATATCAGCACTAGGCTAACCTGAATTGAAAACGCAATACATTTCTGAATTGGGTCTCATATTTTCATCCCCACAGAATTAGTCTTGCAGTGAGATTTCAAAACCGTCGGGTTGTTTTTAGCCGCACACTGCACTGTTCCAGGCCACACAGCAATGCGATTCTTAGGTTTCTTAAGCCCCGATGGAGAGTGAGTGCTGTGAGCTGGCTCATAAACATTCTTTATTTTATTTTATTTTAAATTAATTTTTATTGGAGTATAGTTGATTTACAATGTTGTGTTAGCTTCCGCGTACAGCAAAGTGAATCAGTTATGCATATAGATATATCCACTGTTTTTTAGATTGTTTTCCCATATAGGCCATTACAGAGTACTGAGTAGAGTTCCCTGTGCTCTATAGTTATCTATTTTGTATACAGTGTGTATATATGTACTAAAGCGGAGATCAGGCTTTAGAGTTTACACGTGCTTTCTTCCTACTTGTAAGTCAAATGTGCGAGGAGCTAAGTGTCAAGAACTGAGGGTCTGGGATTCCTCCTTACTTGCAAGCTTACAGATTTGGCGCTCGGGGTTCTTGGTTGCTTCCAGGAGACAGGTAACTCATGGGTCAGAGACAAAAGGCCGATTATTCACAGCGAGAACAGCATCTGGTGTCACCAAGTCACCTGGTTCCCTAAGCCCGAGTCACCCAGGGATGCTGCAGGCACGGAGGGGGGCCTGTTGGACAGGAGATACACACCAACCTGGGGACCCTCCTCTCTATAGCAGCTGACAAGCTGGCTGGCTCTGTGTCTGGCCCTTATTCTGCGAGGTTGCTTTTGCAGCCACAGCTGTGGCCAACGGCCAGGTGGAGACCAGCCGGGACCTTGCAGGCTGAGGGTTCCTAGCAAGACCTGTGGGGGAGGAAGGACCCCCAGATGTTCCGATAAGTCTGAGCTGGCGTGAGCGGCCTGCTCCTTGTCGCTAGACGTGAAATGCAAAGCCGGCCCATCATTCGAAATGGGAGGTCCCTGAGGGGGTCTCGGAGGCTTTGCTGATGGCTCCAGCAGTGGCAGTTTACGTGAAAATAACACTGGTGCTGTCAGCCCACGAGCATGATCCCATTGCAGGAAATCTCAGAACCAGGTCCCATGGTGAGTGCCGGTGGCCGCCCTTCGGGTCCAGGCAAAGTCGACCCACTGAGAAGGAACCATGCCATTCACACCACTGCTTCCTTATTTATTTATTTTTTTAACTTACACTCATTCCCTGATGGTTTGCCCATTGCCAGACATTCCTGAATTTTTTACTGTCAGACTAACCACTAACCATTTTTTTAAACGTTTCTTTGAGGTATAATTGACATACCATGTAATTTCCCCACTTTAAGTGTACCTTTCTGTGAGGTTTTAGTCAGACTGCGGACCTGTGCCTGGGTCACCACCACCCGGTTCAGGACATTCCCATCACCTCGGAGTGTCTAGTGCCTGTTGTCAGTTAACCCCCATCCGCCAGTATAGAGACTCTTTGTCTCTATAAGTGTGCCTTTCCTGCATACTTCATCTGCATGGAATCATGTGACCTAGAGCTGTCTGTATGTGACTGTCACTTGTCATGTGTCTGCGTGTCACCACGTGGCACCGAGCAGCGGGCTTGAGTCCACTGGGCAGCGGGACAGCATCTGTCGTCCACTCGCCCGTCGTGGCCCTTTGGGTCATTCCCAGGTCGGCTGTTCAGTGCAGTGTGCTGTGAACCGTCTCATACGTGTCTTCGGACACATGTTTCTGTTTCTCTTTGGGGTCTCTTGCTGGGTTGTACGGTAGGTTGTGTTTAGCACTTGAAGAGGTTGCAGAGCTGTTCTCCAAAGTGTCTTTATCATTTATTATCCCTGGAAACAGTGATGAAGTTTTTAGTGTTTCCACACCCCTGTCAGCACTATCTTCCTGACTGTAGCCATCCTGGTGACGTGTGGTTTTAATTGACATTTTCCTAATGAACATGTCACCTTCTGTCTTTTCACCTGCGTTGCTTCTTATAAGAAGCCAACCACTAATGCTTCCGACATCATCAGTCACATATGTCTGACTCTCTCAAGATTTCTCAGTGACTCTCAACATCTCAACTTTGATGTGTCTGGATGTAGATCTCTGTTGTCCTACCTGGGGCTCGTTTGCGTTTCTTTGGGAGGGATCTATGACAACTCTTTCCCCTGCAGTGAGTAGGTCCTGGTGCCTCTGCCTAGTTGGTTTTTTCAATTTTGTTTTCATTTTTTTAAAGCCTGGGTTTTTCAGAGTCACGCTGTTTGTATATAGGCCAGGTGCCGGGCAGAGCCTGTGCTTCACCACGTCAGGCCAACAAGGGGTTCTCTTCTGTCTCTGCCACGATCTGCATGAGGGTGGGGCAGGGCATTCCAAATTCAGGCTGTTTTCTTGTTGGTTCAGTTTTCTCTTTCCTGCTTCCTCTGGTCTCTGCATGGTGCACATGGGTGGCAGGCGGAGGGCCTCTGGGCTCACGCGGAGTCTGTGGCTGGCTTGGGCCTCTCCGGCCTCTCATGCTGTACACGCAGCCTCACGGGCTCCGTGCACGACACGGCCACAGGCCAGACCCTGAGCTGTTGGCCCTTCCTTTTGCTGGACTCTGCAAGAGCCGGGATGCTGACCGTGTTGTTGGGTGTGGGCATGGCCCGGTGGTCCACAGTGTGTGCACCCTTCAACAGGGGCAGAGGGGCTACTGAGCTTTGCAGCCTGGCCCACCTGCTAGGGCTGCATGTTGTAAGCCAGAATGCTGCAGACCACCTCCTTCTTACCTGGTTCAGCAGTTTGTCGGCTGTAACTGTCTCTTATGTTATCATATGCCTTTGGTCAGTTTCCAGAATTCTGAAACATATTGTTTTTGTTCATTTTGTCCAGTTTCATAGTTGTCTTCTGTCCATGTCTACCCTTGACCGTAGCCAGAAGTCCTGACCTTGTTTTCTTTTTTTGTCTTTGTTCTGTTTCTCTTCTGAAAAGAAAATTTTACATCGAAATGAATTAAATTTGGCAAATTCTCTACTTTATCATAATGTATACATGGTTCTTGCTTCCAGTGTCCCTCTTGCTGTGCCATTTCAGGAAACTCTGTATTTCTGTAGTCATTCTGCCAGCACTGAAGTCCCTGTGCTGGTGTGTCAGTTCTGAGATTGGGTACGCAGGTGTCATGTTAAAAATTCCTGGTAATTTTCATATAACGTATAATTATTGCAGACAGTTCTCATATCACTGTAATTTCTTTTTTATGTCTCCCTGCTCATTTGGTTTCACATTAATGATGTATCTTTATTTCCAAAAATCTGTCTGTATTTGTACAACACAAAGATCTAAATGACTCAGTGAAAATGAGGAGCAGGGCAGCCTTGGATCTATTCCCTGATCCTAAAGCAGTGCCGTCAGCTGAGGAGTCTCTGAACTGCAGTTCCCTCCCCCATGCCTTATCCTGGGGGGCCACGGGGGGAGCAGGGGGCAGGGCACCAAGGGCAGGAGTGCTGGGTCCCAATTTACTCTATATGAGGAATTAAAATCAGCCCGACCAAGAGGGACCAGGACTGCTTCCTCCTCATCCTTCAAACGCTGATCTGAGAAACTCCAATATAAACCCTTAAGCCTCTGCATCACCTGCCCTACTTCTGTCCTGGTCAGCCTCACTGCCAAAAGGAAACATCGTGTTTATTTTTGAGTAAATGATCAGAGATTCCTTTCTTTGTTGTAGCACCTTGACTTTGTTTATTTATTTTGATGCTGAAGACCATCAGAATCTCAAATCTCTGCCTCTAGGCTGAGACTCAGTAGAATCCCACGTGTTTGGAGCATAGCTGTTTGATAGCTGATACTCATTCAATTGGAAATTCCGAGTCATTGCTCTGCGGCCTTAATTAATATCGGTTGTGATTTGGGATCCGTGTTTAGCGAGGTAATATAGAAGTGACTACATATTCTCCCACTTTAATTAGAGACCTACTATGCATTAATAAAAATGGTAAGTTTATTTTAAATTGAAATTAATTGAAGAAACATACGTGTGCACAGAAAAATATATAAAGCACATTAGGGATGTTTATAGCCCTAAGACTTCGTAACAAAGACCCCAAATGACAGTGGCTGAAACCGGACACACTTTTCTCTCCTGCATTCACAGTTCATGCTGTTGAGCTGTGTCGGAGCCCAAGGTCGTCCAAGGACTCAGGTTCTTTCCACCGTGGTGCTTACTCATCAGCTTCATGGTTGAGTTGACTCCTTAGCTGTGTCCCCATCCCAGCTCATGGAAAGTGGAAAGATCCAAAACCCAGGGCAAGAGACTTGCCTTACTTCAGTATGACCCGGAAATTGTCCTTCGCATTGACCTGATGGGTTGCGTGTCCACCTCTGGCTGCACGGAAGTCTGACCAGTATGATCTTGATCTGAACATACACTGACCCAATAAGCAGACTGTTGTATGTCCATTCTCCAATAGGAAAACTACCATACTTCCTGTAGAATTTGTATAGTACAGCACGGTAAAAGAAGGAAAGAAATTCCACTATTAATTTCAATTTTTCATATATTTATAGTCATACGTTTTTTTGTTTTTCTTCCCAGTATTTTTATTGCATATTTTTATTTTTTAATTTTTTTATATCTTTATTGGAGTATAATTGCTTTACAATGTTGTGCTATTTTCTGCTGTACAACAAAGTGAATCAGCTATATGTATACA